TCCGTCCACTACCCCCTCCTCCCCACTTTACTTGCTTCCTCTCCTCCTCTGCTCCTCTCTGGCCTTCCTACCCTGAGGGAGGTAAGGTGATCTCCCGTTCTGGTGTAAGTGACTGGTATTAGTCTCCCTCTCTGTCTGTCTGTTTGATCCCGGCACTAATGACTCCACAGGGACCAAGGGTCTGATAATGGGAAATCAATATAGAGAATAGCGCTCTGGAGTGGCCTCACTTAGCTCTCGCTCTTTCACGCCTCTCAGCAAAGTGCCTCCGTGTGTGTGTGTGCGCCTGTGTGCACAGAGGAGTGTGTTGTTGTGCGCGTGTGGTGATTGGTGCATGTATTTTGCTATAGTTTCTGCATGACTTGTGTTGTTCAAAAATTACCTTCAAGGCTAGAACGCATCAAAGTTACCGGCATATTTGAAGTCGTTTTGTCTTGAGAAGCATGTGAGGCCGTGTATATACATTTCTGTGGATAATCAGTCACACTGCGCCTGGGGCAAGACAGGTGGAGCTGGTGGCATGAGGCTGGTGGGCCCCCTCCACCCTGAGGGGGCAGAAGGCCCGGCAAAGCAGGGGGCTGGAGTAGCTCCCTCTGCCAGGAACCAAAGCACTTTGGCTGGTGGCAGCTGGTCCTCCATCCCTCCCTCCTTTGCCCCCCTGTATGAGCGCCCCGCGGGCAGGCAACAGGAGGGGTGAGGAGGTCAAGAGGCAGGAGAGAATGGACGACACGCGGCATAATCGCCTTTTATGAAGAGGAGGAGACACAGACAGAGGGAGACGGGAATCGCAGGTCTGACACAATGCAGCTGACTACAAGCAGTAATGAATTAACACATTAGCGCCACGACCAGGGGCGTTCTGAAGCACTCAGCTGCTCTTAAACTCCAACCCTCCTTGGCACACTCTCAGATACGCGCACATAAATCAGCCATAAGTCATTAAAGCCACGAGAAACTAATTAATTACATCAGTCGTTTTGTCAAAGGGATATCTCTGAAAGCCGCTTCACGATCAGCAACTAAAGAGCAAAGAAACTTTCAGCTCGCCTATCAAAGGTTAATTCCAGCTCACAAAGAAAAGGGGATCTTCTCGTCCAAACTCGAGCCATGTGTTCAATTATCATCATCTCCAAACGATCCCCACTAATGCTTTAACCCTTTCCCTCACGTTTCCATCTCAGCCTTCCATCCATCCGATTTCTGCTCTCGTCCATCCCTATAATTCACGTCTATGTGGTTGCCCACTTCCCTGTCTCCCTCTGTTCCTTCTCTCCATCCCTCCCTCCCTCCCTCCCTCCCTCCACGACTTTTAACCAGCGTGAAGGGGCAGCCGAGCATTCAACCATCAGACAGGCTAACATGGTCTCCCCTCACACAGGCACTCCTCCCCAACTCCACTGAAAAAACAACCATCGGGGAACCTTTAAATGTTAATAGTCACACACACACAAAAAAAGCAAGTGATTTTTTTTGTATACTGAACTGGAAGTTCACAAAAATTAACAAAACGTTGCTGCTACAACGTTTGGACGGCTGAGCTACTGCTGACATCTGTCGTTTTGTGAAAAATGAAATAGCTTTCCCACAATAAAGACAATCTTTAGGGATTACAACCTTCATAACTGCTAATTAAAAATCCTTTAATATCTACCAGGCCATAGAAGTGACATTTACGGTGACATTTTACATGGTTTATCTGCTTTTTAAGCGTCTGTCAGATAAATTGTGTCCACACAGCTCCAGAGCATTGCTCCGGTGACAGCCCAGGGAGGATGACGATCCTGTTGGGGTCCCTGATGGGGGATACCATTGCTCTCTTCTCATCCAACAATCCCACAGAGCATGTCAATATGAAACACAATCCCCCCCACCACCCACCACCACACCCCTCCTCCATGGGGGGGCAATGAAAAACAAACCCCCCCCCCCCCCCCTTTTTTTTTTTTTAAGATGGACTCATATTGATGGGAGAAGTCTGGAAAGCTGCTCCGCTTTCTGCGTGAGAAAAAGATCCATGGAGGAAAGTGTATCAATTCACCAAAGAGTAAAACACGTTTTCATGATATTGCGCGCTGTAACTCCGATTAACAAGACCTCAGCTGTGTGCCAGATGAGGGAGACCAGGCCATAAAGCCTTGTTTATTCAACTTTTTTTTTTTTAAAGGGGGGGGGGGGGTATGCAGCCTTGTAAATGCTGTCAGATGGCCGATGTGAGTGTCTTTCAGCTTAATATCACCTATATTAAATAGTTTAAATATTTCATAAGGGCGGGTTTTTAGAGGGAGGGAGGGGAAATCGTTAGCTGCGGTAAAGTTTCATTAACTGGTCCCCATTTCGCTGCGAGGCAAACTCATCTCCTCTTATTGTAATAAAACAATCTGTGTCTTTCTCCGGGTGCCGCTCTCCACTCATCTCCCTCTCCCTCCTTCTCTTTTACATCATAATAATACACTACATCCCCTTTAAATGCACTATTACTTACTGCTGCCTTTTCATATTGTAACATCACGGGCACTTTAGCGACAATATAAAAGCGTGTCATTCATTATTCAGAGGCAGCCGGCCTCGGCCCCCTTTTAAAAAGTCAGGCGCGCTGCTGAAATTGATAACGGCGAGGAGACGCGCAATAAAAACGCAGCCCCCGGGTACCGAGCCGCAGCCCAGAACCCCCCGATTATGCAGATCAAGCGGTAATTTCTCAAACAAATCGCACTCTTTCACTCTTTTGTTGTCGGTTCTTTTTGGACTTTTGGAATCGGGGTGTCAGCTTTTATATTGCCTGTGGGAAAGAAACGAGGATTGATGTAGCCCACATCCTCACTTGTTTCACTGAGGGGCTGCGGGTTTTTTTATTATTATTATTATTATTTTAAAACGACATTTTTTTTGCTCTAAAAGAGATGACCTCTAGCCAGGATTTTGGAATCAATTCTCATATCTTCCATCTTTTTTTGTTTGTTTTTTTTTGTTTTTTTTGTTTTTTTTTAGGCAACGAAAAGGTCGGTCACTGCCCTCCCGAAAAGCAAATTCCTGAAAGCTGACAGGAGGCAGGCTGTGGGGCTTCTTTTAGGATAACTGGTGTCTCTGTGTCCCCCGGTGGGTCAGATGTAATACGTCACAATCACTCATAATCAGTGGCTTACAAGGTTACCAACATCCCACATTTGGAAAGGGAGGGACCCCTTCTGCTCGTTGTGGGGTAAAAGAAACTTCCCTAATTCAAATACAAATACATCTATATCTCTCCATATATATTATGACGCAGTTATTCAACAGATATCCAGCTATGAGTCATGTTAAAGAAGAAAACGACCAGTCGTTCAATCAAAACGAACATGTGTTTTTTTCAGCAATTCGTCGACCACCACCAGGGAATTATTGTTCCAAATGTCATCAAGAGAAACATAAAAATGTCTGAAATGATGACAGCTATAACAGGCCAATTCTCCCCCCATCAAAAGCCACCGGTGAGCTCACATATGGCGGGGGGGGGAGCCGGCCAACACTCCGAGTCTGTCCATATTGCCAAACAAACACCCCGGGCCTCGTCCCATCTCATATTGCTTTTAGAAATGCTTATTGCGAGGGGCGAGGTGTGGGTCATTTTCAAACATATTGACTCTTACCTCTGTATCCCCATTTGAATTTGTACGGTCTGCCCTCAGACTTTCAAACCCAACTATGAAAATGTCCTTTGTCATTATTGCTCGTGCAGTTTTTGGGAGAAATGTCTATCCCTCTGATGTAGTTTAGTTCAAATGTAATTGTGTCTACTGAAACAACTGCATGGGGTGAAGCAGTAAAACAATATTAAAAAAGTCAAAAATAAAAATACAGATACTATAAATATCGAATGACCAAAAGTGATTAATTAACTAAAAATCTAGAGTAAAAAGACAGCCCACACAGGCCTGACTGTGATCTGCTGCTAGTTTGTTAAAGTCCTGTAATGTGATCGGCTAAAAAGCCACCTGCCGCATCCCAGGCCGACGCGCATTTGTCTGTCCATGAGACAAGTTAGTGGAAATGAGATTACCCGGTCACTTTGGGCGCCTGTTACATTGAATCTGAGCGGTTAGTTGCTTCCAGAACTCGGACACTTTATCTGAGGTAGCCCGTGGCTTTCCCTTGTCAGGTCATTTAATGTGGCACTAGCTACCAGGAACAAATAAGGCCACGTTAGGCTGTGCCAAGCTCAATAGGTGCTGCTGTTTCTGCCAGTGCCCGCTGCAGCTGTTGTCCATTTACTTTACGATAGTGAGGGACAAGATGTGCGTAATTGTGCACGGGGATGGGGATCGTTTTGCTTGGAAAAGCTCTCGTTAATTGTGATCAAGGTTCAACAAAAATATTATGTTTTACAGACCTTAACAGACGTCTCCAATTTACACATATGCATTCTGAAAAAGGTTATATCTCAGATGATTTTAGAAATATGTCATTTTTCAACAATGACAAAACAATAAGAATTTTATGTTAAATTAGACTTAAATTGGTTCATTGTTGACACTCTGAAACATCAACAAGTTAATTTATTTCCACTTAAATGTTCGACGTTTTATCATCTTAGCAATAACTTTCTCAATCAATACAAAAGAGGGAAAAAGTCAATATTTCGATTCAAATGAAATGAAGTATATTTAGAGCATCTAAGGTGTAAATCGTGGGACATTTGCATTCATCACAAATACTGTTCTATGGCACTTTTATATTGCTCTCATTCAGTTTTCTGGTCAGGTTATAATTCGTTAACATTCCACACGTGTCAGATAATGCAAACTGGAGAGCTTTCAGGCACAAAAAGAGGCCCACATTGGAGATTTGGTTTCATGGTGTCATAATCCAACAAAATAGGTAAAACCTTGGATCATTGACATATCTGAAAACGCCTCATTCGGCTAAAATGACAGACAAAACTGTTCTCTCTCACTGGCACGATTTTCCAGTGTGCCATACAAACGTTCACTAAGTCACAGTGCTCCTTACTATCTATTAAAATAGCCTGAAAAACAATAAATTAAACCCTGACTCACTTAAGACAGCTCGGAAATGCCATATCTTACCATACATATAATACGCTGACAACCGTGGTTATGGGAAATCTTGATTATTGTGCCAAATCGTGGGCCTACCCCCGATGACATTCAATCAGTCATTCCAGTGCCAGCCAATGAGATGTGGAGAGGGCTGGAGGAGGACGGAGCAGCCAGACTGAGCGTTTTGACGCGCTGAGAGCAGCACGGAGCGTCACATCTCTCCAAACGCCCATCAAACTTTCACCACAGCCGCCAAAGAGGAGCCAGTCCTCTGGAAGAGGCCTGCCACAGACAGCGAGGAACACGCCGGACACTGGATTTGCGGGTGGACGGCGATGGGGACACTTCTGATAATGACTTTTGGTGCAGTTTGACCCTCCTGAATCCCCCCCCCTGAGCATTCCTTGTTCAGCTTTTCTCGTCCTTTTATCTACTGAGCGAGGGATGGAGCAAGCACCCAGCGCGCCGAGCCCTCCTCCGAAGCCATCCCACCACGAGCCCATCAGCTTCGGCATCGACCAGATTCTGGGGGCTGGTTCGGAGCCGGAGAGCGGACGCAGACAGGGCGGGCCGGACCCGGGCAGCGGGGAGGCTTACTACAGCCTGGGAAGCCCCACCGGGGCCAGCGCGCCCTCCTACACCGCGCTGTCCATCTCGCTGTCCGGCATCATGCCTCCGGTGGAGGCTGCGGGTTCGTACGGGGAGGGCAGGGCTCTGGGCAGCCGGGGAGTGATCCGGGTCCCGGCGCACAGACCCGTGGCTGCCCCGGGACCCCCCACCCCGGTCCAGGGCGCCGTTCCGGGGTTTGGAGGGCTGTGCTTCCCTTGGATAGGAAACAGGTTCGCCAAGGACAGAATCTCAGGTAGGAACAGCTGGAACACGACTTACCGTCAAAAATATTTGATATAGCCTATATATTTAACGAAAATATACAAACGAACAATCACTTGTGTTCTTTTACGGGCTTTCTGATTGACCATAAAAAAAGGTTTTAAAGTGGCAGAAAAATACATTATACTTGTTTGTGTTTTTAGACCATAAATATATTCTCATCTACGTGTTATTAATTCATTAACAGGCATGGGTTTATGTTTTCGAATCAGATTGTAGGTATTTAATTTATTATTCCTTCAAATAAGTACAGCGATTTTTTCTAAATTTAGAAAAAATAGAATGAATTCAAATTAAAATTGAGAAATATCATTAGAAGAATGTACAAAAAAATCCTAGATAAATTATTATCCAAAGAGCTCAACAGAGGAGCAGAACAAGTGGTTTAAAGTTGATCTAAAACACCTTATTAAACAGGCACCGTAAAGGCCTGTCTCAGTGAAGACGAATGGCCCCTTTTTTAAATAACAGCTCAATAATTTAGCATATAAAGTGGTATACATTGTGAACTCGTAAACAGGCCCAAAGGCCTTGCTGTCGTCTCTGGAATTAATGGTGCTAAATTTACCTGTAAAAAGTCCAAACAAGTTTAAGGTGTTTTAATAAGCACCTATATAATTCTTCCAAATAGCTTATTTTGTTTAGGTTCATGCACAATAAAAACTACATTGGGCCACATTCCCCACATGTCTGATCCAGTGGAGACGCAGAAAAGCAGTCTATCAGGGCAGTTATCTTTGGGAATGGCTCTGAATGATCTGATCCTCCTGTAAAGTGTCTAACTCACCGGTGTTTCCCTCCTCAGCTGCTCTGGTTCCCTTCGCGGTTACGCGGCGGATAGGGCACCCGTACCAGAACCGGACTCCCCCCAAACGGAAAAAACCCCGGACTTCCTTTTCCCGAGTTCAGATCTGTGAGCTGGAGAAGCGCTTCCACCGGCAGAAGTACCTGGCCAGCGCCGAGCGCGCCGCCCTGGCCAAGAGCCTGAAGATGACCGACGCACAGGTCAAGACCTGGTTCCAGAACCGCAGGACCAAGTGGAGGTCGGTATGAGGGGACTGCGTTCAAATGTATTCCGTCATGTTTCAAAGCCAAAGTTAGCACAGCCTGCAAATCTTTTTAAAATGTACTCCTGGGTAGAAGATAACACGTGATTTCCTGTCATCTGACCCCATGACACGGAGAAGCATTAATACAATCAACAAATAAATGACAAATTCTGTTAAAATAATTCTACATGTAAATATACATACATTTACCCCATATGTTTTTGTGTATACATATATATAGCATATATATATAAACATATTTATATGTGTGTGTGTACTTTGACACTTTCTATAATTTCAGCTCAGTTTCTATCATTTCAGATCAGTGTAAATTTGTATGGATTAACCTCCATTAGGCCTTTAATAAGCATCACAGACGGTTAAGGACGTCCTGAGTGTTTTTATTTGTGTTCTGAAAACAAGTTCTATCTCAACTTTGCATGCCAAAAATCTAAAACGTCTCGTTTGCACAGCATAAACAATTACGCGTGTGTATTTTATCGGCCTCGGCGGAAGGAGGGGGGCATTCCTTAACTTATAACCTCATCATTTATTGATCTCCAATTGTTTAATCCCCCTCCTGTCGTGTTCCAGGAGGCAGACGGCGGAGGAGCGGGAGGCGGAGCGTCAGCAGGCCAACCGCCTGATCCTGCAGCTGCAGCAGTCCGCCCTGCACAAAACCCTCAGCGAATCAGCCGCCGCAGACCCGCTGTGCGCGCACAACTCCTCCCTGTACGCGCTGCAGAACCTCCAGCCCTGGGCCGAGGACCGGGAGTGAGGAGGACCACGGTAGATCCATATAAAGAGCACAGTGGGAATTACTTTTAAAAAAAACAGAGAGAGACAGAGATAGAACATAACGTCCCCAGAAAAAAGAAAACTGATGTTCGGTCACACCTATTTGATCCGATGATTTTGGAAGTGGACAGGAGACTCTGGTGAGTGTTTGAGGGACTTTGATGGACTCTGTACGAGGAAACCGTTTGGAAAATGTCTCCAAATTGAAAACAAGCTGAAAAAGACTCGGCATTAAAAATCCACGTCACTGTTGTTCTCTCACGCTTGCACTTATTCTGTTTATTAGAATAAGAAAGGGCGGAAATGACCCTAACTGAAGGATGTAAAGAATTCTGCAAAGTTCAACACAAATTTTCGTGTTTTATGAAAGTGTTTTTCTCTCTGTTTTCCTTGTTTTGAAGCCGCACTCGGCCGGTTTTGTAAATGAAGGGAGGACAACATAGACAAAATAAACATAAATAAAAGCAATGCCTACACCTCGACACCTCTGCAGAGAACATGAAGAAAAAAGCGTTTATAAGTTTTCATTTTATACATCTGCTAGGCTAAATACAAAATGTCTTAAAACTAGAAAAATATGTTTTCTTTTTATTGATTTGCTCTGGTGGTTAGAGATTAAAAAATATCCATGCACCACAAAATCACCTACACACACAAATGGTGCACCACAAAATGTTTCCTCAAGTGTTGCAATATGGAGGGAAAATGCTATTTTGAGCAGTAATAAAAGAAAAACATGCATCAGGCTCAGTGAGGTGAAGACAAAATACCAGACAGGCTGTGAGTTGGGTAATAAAACGAGTGATGCATGTTCAGTGATGGTGGTGATGTCTTCTCATATTCCCATTGCTTTATGTGTTGGTTTTTAGATCAACACAGACACTCTTTTTGTACGTTCGCTGTACATGTGTAAATACAGGTATAAAATGTTGTTGTGACCCTCTTTGCCCACGTTCTTTGTGATGTGCCTTTGAAAAAAATACTCTGAGGTTTTTAAGCCACTGTTCTGATGAGGTAGAAAAAAAGAAAAGATGTGTGGCGTGAGAGTGAATACACCAGCTAAGTGTGTTTCTTGAAAATTTTATTGATAAATATAATGATTTTATACAATATTTTAATACACACATAATTCTCATTTTGATAGTTTTTTCAAGTGTCTGTCTGAATGCCTGTCCATCTGTTCGTTAGCATATCAGGGAGTAAGAGTACATGAAATTTATTTCAAATATTGGTAGCACAGTGAGCAAAAGCAAATTATTATCATCACTTGATCTTCAGAAAGATGGCTCTTGTTTTAAACATGGCTTCCACTCCCCCAGAGTCAGTGTTAAGGTCTCCTCTTCAATCTTATTTTCAGCACATCATCACAGTGAAATGTGATTTTTTTTCTCTTGTTGAGTAAAAACAGTCCTCATTTCTGCATCCACAAGATGAAACTACATGCCAGAAATAAATATTGAGTCAAGCAGGACCTTCACATCAGGACACGTAGACAAATACATGCAAATCCCTGTATTGCTCTGAATCTTTATGCCGGCAAACAAGTTCTTTATTTCACAATTAATCACAAATTCTGACGCAGAGTTTTATCCAATCAGACAGAGGGACAGACAGGCATCAGACAGACGGTCGTTTTTTCAGAGAGATGAGAGGAGACCACATCAACAGGGGATACGTATTTACAGCACAGTTGAGTCCAGGAAACCTTTGAACACTGACGAATACACTCAGCAGGACTTTAGACGAGTGTCCGGCCTCTGTCCGAGTTTAGTCTGAAAACAGGGTGGATGTTTCACACTGGCCTGGACTCTTACACGTAAGCATTTAGCATAAGTATTTACCATCAAGTCTATATGGCACCGATGCATTCAAATGCTGTGAGCCACTGTCCTGCATGCCCAGATAAACTGCAGCTCTTTTGTTGCATTGACACAGGAATTTGTAAGATAACAGCTACGTTGCTAGTGTGCAAGGTGTACCTTTAATTAGATTTTCAGGACTTTGTTCTTGTTCTTCTAACATCAGACAAATGAGGCAGGGCCAGAGTATTTATGCCGTGCTCAGCGTGTACAGAGGACGTTAACAGCCACAACAGCAACAACTAAAGGAGACACGGAGGACACGGACAGTCACGGAACAACCAAATGCAGTCGACGGGTGTTTTATGAAACCAGAGAATGGTTGCCACGGTTTTATGTTACACTGGGATGCCCTCCCTACTGTTCTGTGGCAAACTGTCGTGCCAAACATGGCAGTGTAAGCTCATTGATTCCCTTTTGACACAAGTTCAGCCATTCCCATTTTATCAAGCAGACTATTGTTCGTCTCTCATTCAACTCATTTTTCTTCATTCCTGTCTCTGGCGCTGTGTTTTCATGTGTTCTCCATCTCTCTCTTGTTTGTCGTCTAGATGACGTTTTCAAAGAGCTGCAGAGACCTCATGATGTTTTCATCCTGTGCAAAAAGAAATTGAGAAGCTGACTTTGAAGTGAAAGTCCTGCAACAAGCAATCTTTCTGATCTTGCTACAAGCTAAATCTTTGATAAATAAAATACCAAAGAGCTAAAATTAATAACCCACTTGCAAAGGTGGGAGGCCCTTAATAGGTGGTAAATAAAAGTGTTGTGATCTTTTTTTACTGGAAAAACAGGATTTTAAATGGTACAATTCACATCGCGAGGCCACTGCTCTGATGTGTCAAGCCATCAAAGTTATTTGTGAAAACTATATAGATTGTTGTGTTAAATTAAGAAAAAGATTACCTCTTGACAAGAGAAGATGAATTCATCCAGAGTGACCACACCGTCTCTGTTTTTGTCCATTTTCTGTAGAAAGATGCACACATCTTTTTTAATATATTTAAAAAGAACATGCAGTCTGTGAATAAACACCTGAAATTCACACTAATCTGTGAGATTACAAAGGTAATTTCTGCTCATGATGATTAAAAAAATGTTTCACTCTGTTATTATCAGATCTGCCCAGTGTGCTGCGTTTAACTAACAGTCTTGTTGAGTCAGTCAGTGGTGGAATCAGGCGTTGGTACCTGAAAGAAGGCCTCCACATGTTGTTTTGGTGCATCGGTTTTTAAAACGGGGTAAGTGTACTTCCCCATCATGTCATATATTGCTCTGACGATGTCAGTCATTTCCTATGGAACAGAACAGAGACACATACAGTAAACTCAATCAGACCTGAGCTGCAAAATCCCACAGGAGGGGGACAGCAAAGGCAGCACAAACCTCTTTGTTTATGTACCCATCTCTGTTTATGTCGTAGAGGTTAAAGGTCCACTGGAGTTTTTCTGTGATGGAGCCCCTCAGAAGGATGGACAAAGCTGTCACAAAATCCTGATCAACAGAGAATCTCGGTGAGAAGGACAAACTGGAACAAAAAGTTGTAATTATTCAATCAAATTTAGACAGAGAGTTAGAACAGATTGAGTCAAACCTCAAACTTAATGGATCCCGAGTGTCCTGCATCAAATGCGTTGAACAGGTAGTGTGCGTAGGTGCTGGCATCTACAGAAGCAGAGGAAAAAGTCAGTTTTCTTTTTGTTTTTTTTAACCAAGCAGAGTTGATACAGAATAAAGACACACACAAACACTTCACCTCCATGTGGGAAGAACTGTGAGTAGATTTGCTTGAAGGTATCCTCATTTACTACACCACTTGGACACTCCTACAAAATACAGGGTTACACAAAAAGAGAAGACTTGAAAAAACAAGAGGGGCCTGCATAAAAAAAAAGTTCTGACCGGTGTCTGAGGGGAGCATTTACCAGGTGCAGGCTTTCACAGTAGGTTTGGCCTAATCTGTATGTGACATTTAAAATCTTTAACAGTCAAATTAATTTTACTAGTCAAATATGAAGCGATTATGGTTTTTCACAACAAACTAAGGCTGTAATCTAACCTTTTGTCCACGGTGTGTCCAGGGTGAGGGCACCGTTACAGTGAAACATGCTGCCTTTTTCATCGAAGGGTTAATTGCTTATTTGAGGCAGGAAATCCCCAAATTCCATTAACTATTTAAAAAAAAAAACAACTAGCAGACAAAGTGGCCGCTTGCTGGACTGCCCTACCTGCAGTTCAGACCTGAAAACAACTGATGTGTTAGAGAACACAAAAAGAAATCAGGATTCCTTAAGCAGTTGGCCATCTCAAATCCTACCTTAAGCCAAAATCAGACATTTTCTTAGTGCCTACATATTTAAAAAAATGTGATTAGCCTGTTTAATCCCATTCAACATGACTTTAAATGCCCTTTACCACAAATATTAGAGTGGCTGCTATTAGGCTCTGAACCGGAATATTGCACAGGTCAGCATGTAACATTGCAATAAAAGATTATTACAGCTTTCAAATGAACGTCAAAGGAAATATTGAAACATTTTCAAAAGCCAACACTGTAAGAGGAATCTCCTTCACTGGGACCATGAACCCGAATTAAATCCGTGCCGCATTTAATATTAAAGACGCAAAGCTCCAGTGACAGATGAAGATTAATAATATATTTTAACTGAACAAAGACACACAGTCTCATACACACTCATGTCATTGCAGCCATAAAGTCTCTTACATTCTTGAAGCCCCTATAAAGAACTTGGAGCTCTCTTTTGCTGAAGTTCGTTTGAGCTTCGAGCTTGTCCAGGCCCTCTGGCCGATGGGACACCGTCGTCATCTCCAAGTCATCGTCAGCTTTGTCTAAACGGACAAATACAAAGAGAGGACGGAAACAATCAAATCACTTGAAACTATTTGTGTTAATGGAGACACATTGGGTTGGAGAGGAGAGAAACAGAGATGAAAGATGAAGTTGAAGAGAGGTGGAGGTCAGTTCGGGTCCTCCTCTCTGCGGCCCTATCATTAACAACTCATTACTCTCCTCGCCGCAGTGGGAGTGGAGAGAGGACACATCACTGACTCAACACACACACACATCTATAGGTGAAAATCGGAGCATAAAATCTAACAGCCTCCCTCGCTCCCTTTTACTCAACTCGACTCACATTCTCCCTGAAGCAATCTACAGTGTAATAATTATGCATACTGTTATAACTGTGCAGAATTTAATAGAAGGACTAATAAAAAATCTGAATATGATAAAGTGGTCATAATGTGAAGAAGTAAAAGGCTGGAACGAAAAGGAAAAGAAAGAAAAATCTTGGTGGTGTTGAAATAATAAAACACTGTGTTTGAATGAAGGCCTTTGAATAATATTATCTGTGGGATTGAACAGAATACGGGAAAAGCTTCAGAATTTGTGTAACATCTCATTGAGAGTGATAATATAACATGTTATAACAACGATACATCCGTCTAACCTTTAACAGGCTAAGCTGCTGGACCCTCTGTGCCAGCCCAGTAGAAATAAGGCTTTAGTCTTCACACAGGTCAAGGTGTGCATCTCTCACTCTCTCTGCCTGTGTCAGGCTGAGCTCTACGATGATGTACGATCTCTTTAGCATCGGCATGAAAATGAGATGTTCCCGAGTAGTTCGCAGAGCCATCCAGAAGTGTTTGATTTGTGATAGCTTGTTTAATTTTCCTGTTTGAAGAGCTTATTACCGAAGAAAATTACCCTCAGTTGAAGTGATTACACTACTGAGGCAGAGAGTGCTTTGAAAGTGAAATGTGTCATGAGACTTGAAGTCGTCTCAGCGTCTCGTTCAGCCCACAGAGTCACGCAGTGAGTTCCACACCGCCCTCCTGCAATGACGACTTTGAAACACTGGCGGTTTTGAAATAGAGGCATCTTTGCCTGTGTAGCAGCACCATTAGTGCTTCGCGATGCCTCATTACACCAGTGAGCTTTGTCCTCTCAACGAATCCCAGGTACCAGGTCGGCAACTTTATCGCACTGCTAAATCAACCCTCAGCCATTAACCTTTTCCGCCTTTTCAGATCAAGTACATTGTGTATATATCGCACTCAGCACACCAGTTGTGAATTTAAGTGCCTATTTGGATCAAATACAGACTCATAAAGCTTATCTGACCTTTAAATCTGGCACTACAGATACTTTGAAGTTATACAATCAGTCTCTGTACGTGATTACGCAATAATAACTCAAAGGAAATTCTAAATAATCTTAATAATATCTTGTCCTAAAGAGCTCCTTTAATTGAGCCAACTTGTTTAAAGACTTTTGGAAACAATACACATTTGTAGACTGTTTAGTTGCTCAGTGATTAACCCCTAGCTCCTAACCCTTCTTTCCTCTTTCCTCTCTCTATTTAAGACACACGGCTCTAACACTGAAGGTTGCGGGCTTCAAACCAAGCAGATCATGCTTTAACAGTGTCTTATCGGGGTAGAGATTCAGACTCAATTTTAAGGCAGACACAAAAAGCAACACACACATATCAAAAGCCAGCTAGAACAGGACGAAAAGAGAGTATACTGCACTTATGGTAATCATATGCACACAGCTTGGGATTTGGAGCTGTCCATGTAAAGGCTCTGAGAACACAGGCACAGTTACAATGAAACACGCTGCTGTGCAGAGTCCACGACGGCTCCATCTCAAACCAAATCCCACATTTCAAAGATAAACCACAATGCATAACTTGACAGTGTTTTTAAAGCAGCTTGTATTACGGCAGTAGGAAGGCGTACCAGCAGAAACGTATGAAGCCAATGAACATATGATGAGCAGTTTTTCTGATACCTGAGGATGAAGGGTGTCTGAAATAAATTAACACACATACAGCCAACTTCATAATGGTAAATGATCAGTGTAAGATGTCCCTTGTAGCTTTCTACTGTTTCCATCTGCTGAATGGTGGCTCTTTTGACACCGATGTAAGCTAGAAAAGAACCCGAAGCAAGATTCACAATAATGCATGTCCAAAAGGTCCGTTTGGCCAGCCAAGCAAATCAAATCTAAAAGACTATACATCAAAGTATATGAAAAATTCTTAAAGTGAGTAGATATTAAGATAAGTTCAATCAAAATGCACATGAAGGACTTGACTTTCAGTGAGCTGACGCTGCGTTGGGCTTCTCCAATCAGCATTACAGTGATAGCAGAGTCGGAGGTTTGCAGCCATTTTTATCATCATTGGAAAATACTTTGAGTGAGACAGTATAACACTGTTAACAGATGGTGAAAACATACCGATCTGCTGTGTTTGATCATTTATGCTGTTAGGAATGAAAAATCTGACCTTCGAACAGCTGCAACACCAGACCATCAAACTGTCAAGTCACATTCTTAAGTCAATCTAATTTGTTCTTTTTTTTTCTCCGATTTTTTTATTCGCTTAGAAGCAGCTTGACATAAAAAAAAGTAAGTCAGAGTTTTCTGGTTAACTTTGAGCTGCAGCGGATGACGGTTTAATGGCGACTCACCCTCCACATTGATGACTCCCAGTAGATGCAGCATTTTGATGAGCCCACAGCAGAGCAGAACGATGGCTATTGTGTGCAAGCTGTTGTCGCTGCCTTGCTCCCCTCTTTCCATTTTGATGACTTCCCCCTTTCCTTTGTCCTACAGATTTCTGTGACTAACTTTTGTCCTTATTTCCAACAATAACCAAGTTTACCTAATACAAGTAAAGGACACTTTCAATTTTGCTAAATCCATCTTTCCTCAAACTATTTTTCCAAATCAGTTGTATTTCTCTGAATAGCTTTCGTGACCATAAACTCTCTCCCCTTCCTGCTCTCTCCACTGGTGAGATTGGTTCTCTCTGTCCTCTCTTTATTTCTGTCTTTTTATCCCCCTGTTTTCACACTCCCATGAGTATCTCCCTCTTGTGCCCTGACCTTCTCCCCATCCCACTAACTCTCCGTCTCCCACCAAACCCCGGTCTCCACTGCACTTCACACTCTGTGTCCTTCACTCTGTAGGACTGGGCTTTAACCGGAGGCCCCGCTCTGAGCGCACAATAACAATGATAAACTCACCTTCAGCTGTCCCACCATGTGTGTTTATGTGTGTTCACGAGTACATCCCCGTTTGATTAATTATTCCCATTTACACACAGTCATCCCCAATCAACAGAAGCCTTTATTCACCGCAAAGTGACTTTTCTGATGGAACATGGCCGGAGTCCTCAGATGTGACTTGTACCTCAATGAAAATAAAGTTTTCCCTTAATTTTTAAATGATGAAATACCTGGTAATAATGGTCTAAAATGTTGGTTTTATTTAAAGAAAATATTCTATAGACACAAAGATAGTATATGAAATGACCAGCAGAGGGAAGCAAAAACCAAAACATTGAACACAAGTGTGTCCAAGCAGACAAAAACATGACACATTACCCTGTCTTAGCTGTCTAGTGAATGCTGTGGAAATCTGACAAATTGTCGGATTTGGCAAATAGATTTGATTTATTTATCGTTCATATGTGATCATAATTTATTAATTCACACATGCATGTGAGCTTCTTTGCATAATACATTCTGACAGGATGTACTCCACTAGAATTCATGTTAAAATGGTCAAAATACAACATTGTTCTATTTAAATTAGTCACTAAACTGCAAAAATGAATACATGAGTATGAATTACACTATACATTTCAGTTACTGAGTGAGTCATTCTCCGTTTTTAACAAAAATGTTACACGAAGTGGCAGCTAAATAACATTTTTTGGTCTCAACGAACTATGATGGAATTATTTTCCATCGTACAATAGATTATGAGGACATACTTATGATCTGTTGGCTGAAGCAGCTCTTCACAGAGTTTACGCACAATAGTTCTCACAGCTCAGAGGAATGACCCATCTGCAGGGAAGACTAAATGGGTTATACTTATACTAGACAAGCATGTAATGAAACAAATTCACTTTGCTAACTGCCAGGTGCGTCCACGTGTAGCTGCTCCCTCACAAACTGCAGGGGGCTCTGCAAGATCATAAGATTTCCTTATGCCATCATTTCCAGGTCTGTTTTATTTAACCCTACAATGCCATTTGTATCTTATTTGATACATACAGTTTCTGAAATGCTTTGCATCTGAGAAGGTCTAAATACACCTGATAACAGCGGGCAGACGATTACACGAATACCACTCATTAGCATAAATGTCCCTTGATGAGGCCCATTCAGCTTCTAGTTTATTATGTTGACTCCAGTCATCAACTGTGATTATTCAGCAGCATTGCTTTAATATTGTATACAGGCACAGCGAAGGCACAGAATTGCAGGGTTAGACCACACCGTTATTCTATAAACTATTTTATCAGCATCTGCAAAGAAACCAAGTTAATTTGTCACTGTAGCCAAGAGGACGAGAGAAAAAAAAAAGACAGAGGGGATAAGGAAAAAGTGAGTTTGGACTCTCTGGCTTCTACAAATGGATCACAGAACAAAATGAAAGTGAAGCACAACCACATCTTAGACATGATTATTGTCAGAAATTGAACCTTGTTAGTTTTTCGACGGAGTGGCTCATCACTCAAGTGTCTTCTGCACCATCTGCTGAAGACATTTAATTTGACAGGCAACTGGCTCTTTTTTTTTAATTAGGAGAAGCACACTTAGCAGGCGTCTATATCGTATAGAGATCATTTGCAGACACAGGGCCAGCGAGCACATTTCAGTTATGCAAGAGCAAGTGTGGTATAGTGTGTAATTAACTTCGATAAATTAAATACTAAAAATGTTCTTGTTATACTAAAAAGAATAGGTAAAACAACTTGAGCTTAGGTTGCTTTATTACTGCCAGCTTGTACTACATGGTTTAATTACATCCTTGAGATCTGTAAAAACAGAAAGCATGACATCAGTGTAAATCTGGCAGAGACAGAAGACAGAAGACTACAAAAGACTAAAAAAACTTCTTAGTTATCTTTCAAATCTCCTCTGTCTATCAGCCCTCTCTGTACATTATCATTTACTTTACATTTTCTTGGAAAATGGGCACCATAGTCTATAGCTTTTACTTCAAACTCAAGTGTTAACATTTTGCTCTGCACTGGAAAAGGAATAAATTCCATTGAAGGTTAAACATTTTCTTTGTTATGGATTCATTTAATTCCACCCTCCTGGCAATGTTATTTAATGTAATTTACAAGACAATTGCTCTGAATAATAAAACAGAAAATAATGTATAAAGGGATTTCTAGAAAGTAAATCACACAGCACAAGCCGTGCTGTGTGAATAGTCAGCCAGCGTTGCACACACTCATACTTCAGCACACCATCTTACGATTAAGAGCTATGATTCAACGCAGTGAAAGACAGGCCATTAAAAAGATAAGTTTATGATGATTTTTGAGTAACATTTTCATCATGATTAAAACTTGATTCTGGTTTTTGAGTTACTAATCTGCGCTCCAGGAGAAAACACATAAAAGTGTATAATGGAGTTCTTGAGGGTCACACTCGCTCTTGCAAAGTTTTCACCAAGCAGGTGCGGTCCAGAAACCTGCAATAACGGAGCAATAACACAATCTGCAAACTTAGCAAGTGAAGAAAACTTGAACAAACCCAACCTAGAAACCCACCTCCAGAGCTTGGCTTCCATCTGTCACGCGAGTTATTATAAGCCGTGGAGCCTGACAGTGAGCAAAAGCATGAAACCTTCTCCAGTGAAGTCTGTTTGGAGTATTAAGAGGTGGCCTAAATTGTGCCACCAAGAGAGACGGGCTTTCACTCCACAACAGTGGCACCTCCTGTCATAACACATTCACTAACTTTCTAAAGCCCATGAACAGGATTTAACTCCTTGCTTATATATCCTCCAGTGTCTAATGTTAGCTCTTGCCTTCCTTCTCCATCTTTTGCTTTATTCTGTATCCCACTGAAACCTCATTTTTTCCCCTTTCTTATCTCTCACTCTGCCAGGCTCCTCTCTCAGCTTGCCACTCTAAGGCCTCCCTTTCCCCTCTCGTAATGTGTCCTGTTATACTTGCCAGAGAGTGTGTCATTTGCATAATCTGAATTAGCCTAATCTGCTGTCCTGGCGGCATATAGATGGCTCGTTTTCACCGCTCACTATCCAAGTTAGTAGGAGCTCCGCTGGCCACGAGTTTTAGGGAAGTGAGGTCATTTGCAGCGACCATTTATGTCGTAAAAGATGCAAAAGCTTAACAGATAATCACGTTCCACACTATGAAGCTCCCCGTCTGAGACGCATTGTTTTCCACAGTCAAAATCTGTCAGTGGGCAAAGGGGCCAATCCCGACGTGGCCTTTGGGTGGTTCACTGAAAGTCCAATGACTTTGTAACACACAGACACAAAATATTAAAGCACCCAAGTGTGTAAAACAAGTTACACCCCCATGCTTACGCACACATGTCCTCAGCCCATGAAGGAGAACTCAAATGCTGGAGGGTATGTGTAAATATGTGCCTGTGTGAGGCAGAGAAACCCACACATACACACACGAAACCTCACAGTGTCACTTCCTCACACATCTATGTGGCAATGCTGATTATGTTTGGGAAGAGTGAGTCAAGTACAGCTCATTTAGACACAGAGAGCTGGGTGCAAATATTGATTTTTGAGGAAATACACGCCTAGACTCAGAATCTACAAGAACAAACTGACATTGATGGTTCCAAGCAAGATTTAATAATCAGTAACACACCTAAAGGGAGCATGGAGGACAGAGAACAGAAGCAGGGGAGAAAGAGCAGAGGACTGAAAAAAATAAATTCATGGTATAGTGATGAGGAGAGTTCAAGTAAAGATTTTGTGTTGGCAGAAAATGAGGGAAAAACATGGAGGAAAGTAATGAAGGGAAAAAAGGGAAAGGGAGCCAGGGTAGGTGGAACTGAAGAAAAGAGCAATGTAAAGAAGCCGAAGGAGGCAGAGGAGTAAAAAAGAATGGAAGACGAGAGGATGAGCAGTGTGACAGGTTTGGGAAAGAGCAAAGGAGGATTGAGAAACAAAAAATTCCCCAGGGAGTGTGGAAAAGGAGGCTCTTTTCAGATGAGGCCACCTCAGGAAAGCAAAACTAAGCAGTCAAAAAGTGAGGAAAACTATAACCATCAAAAGACAGTCAGAGCAATAACAAGAACACCTGTGAGAGGATTAAAACTACCTCACAGAGCAGGCATTCAAATATCGATACAGACACAATAAGTACCTTCAAATAAGTCCCTAGGGATATATGTAAGTTATCAGCAGCTCCATATTGTTTTCATTCATTCACTAATCCCGTATAGCTGAAGCACAGGAAAGATACTTTGACAACAAAGGAAAACACCTCACTAACTCCAGTTCTGCATCCCAATTCCTACTTCGTACTAAAAAAGGGCTTGCTGTCACTTGCAGGGACAGGCATATTTTACACATTTCCTCACTTCTATGATCATCGCATTTTTCAAAATAGCAACAAATTTACGCCTTGCGTAGTCAGCACCCTTGGGGAAGATTTTTTGTTTGGGCTTGTAGATGGAAAAAAAAACATTCAAAAGATCAAACCAGCCATATGTGCACTCTTGGAATATGTCCTGTATGGGCTCATTTGGACTGAAAGCTGATAACAGCTTGCCTCCGCA